AAATCCCTGGGCGGTGCCCCAAGTGCTTGGGCGTTGGCTCTTCGTGCTTTGGGTCTTGACCTCTTGGGCGTTGACATCTTGGACGTTGGCCTCTTGGGCGCTGCCCTCCAGGACATTAGCCTCTTGGGCGCTGCCCTCCAGGACATTAGCCTCTTGGGCGTCCGCCTCTTGGACGTTGGCTTCTTGGGCGTTAGCCTCTTGACTTGGGCTCCACTTAACTCCTTGTTAATTTACGAGCGGCTCACATGATTTGGACTCCTAGGTTGATCCGGCTTCGGTTAGAATTTTCTTTGGACTTTCTCGGTTTAATTAGATTGGGTTTGACCCAATCAAATTCGGGCTCATCAAATAGTATTTACCACACAATTGGTAATATTTCTTTCTTTTTCATGTCTCAATTTTTTTGTTAGCCTAGTATTATTCTATACGATTATATTGTTTGTGTTTGCACTAATTACATTCAAAGCAGAAAAATATTAGATTCATATTTGAATTTAGATTTGAATTTGGACTTGGACTTGAATTTGGATGAAAATCAATAAAGAAAAAACTAATCATATTCATTAATCGTGTAATTAAGAAAAATATCATTTAGCGACTTAAATGATCAAAAAAAGATTGACATTCAAAAATTCTGATAGAATAGCAATCTTCAAGATCTCGACATTTTCAATCGACTTTGTCCAATTCTTCCTTCGCTACTTTTGCAATTGATGACCGACTGTCTCGCTAATTGTCCAACCCATATTTGAACCATCAATAATGTTATTTAGAATATATTTATTGATATAATTTATTAATATAATTCATCATAATTAACCACCAATAATGTTATTTAGACTTCATTTATTAATATAATTTATTGATATAATTCATCATAATTATTAAATTGGTTGTGAATCCCAATAAATACAGGAGCTCACTATCAATCCAATAGTTATGAGTGATTAAATTAATAAATTAAATCTAAATAAAATTGCTCTTTCAACCGGATTGTTGGACCATTTTACATCACGTTCACGAAGTCTCAATCCCATTTTTTTTTTTTGAAAGGAGAAAACTATATTGATAAGTCCAAGATTACAGGAAGTAAAAGCATAGCTTGAACAAAAAGAAAGAGGCTAAAGTTGGCATTAATCCTTCAAAAAAATGAAAAACAGAGGACATTCTACAAAGTGCAGAGACTGCCCAGTACCCACCCTACAAAATGCAACATGCACTGGCAATGAGAACCAGGCAGCATCAGGACCAACAAAGGCGCAAAAGCCTAGAAAATAACTGAAAAACCAGCTGGAGAACCATTAAAACCAGCTGAAAGTTCAGCTGGAGTCCAGCTGAGCCAAATCGTAGAGCACCAGAAGAGCCAAGTCTCAATCCCAAGACTACCGTTAACATATAGTGAAGTAAAGGATAATATTATGGCACAAAAATGTAATTTTTAATTATTTTAAATATTTATTGCTCCTGGATATTGCCATGGTTTATTTATTTATATAGTAGTTGGCCAAAGCCATACAACATGACTCAAATTTCAAATGTTATGTACTCGTCAATGCATAAGCTCATGGTCACCATGTCAAAAGAAAATTTCATACATAGTGCCTAATATTTCACTTATAACGGGATCTAGGAGAGGTGTGTGGTAAAAACTTTTATCATCATTTTTCCAATTTAATTCACAAACTCGATTTTGATCTTAGCTACAACACTTAAGGGGATGAGTAATTGCCATATCAAGAGGCGGATTTACACGCCGGGGGGGGGGGGGGGGGGGGAACAATTGTCTCCATTGGAATTCTAAAAATATTTGGGGAGTAAGGTGAAATTTTAGAATCTGGTCAAAGTTGCCTCCACTAAAATTTTTAAAAATATTTGGGGAGTAAAGTGAAATGTTTGAAATTTTAGAATCTCTTAGAAGTTTCCCCCATTGAAAATATTTTAAATTCAAGACTAATAATGTATTTTCTCAAACGTGTGGGGTTCTATAGTCTTTAGCAACAACAAAAAATACCTTTACTTTTACTTTTCACAGATCACATTGATTCTAAGAACTTCACTCCTACAATTCTGAATTTGATCTCCCTGATTATAGATATATATATTTTTTGTTGTTCTATTTTTATATGAAAAATTAATACAGAGAATTGCAAGGTTTTAAAATTAATGACATTGTATTTAGAATTTATATGCTATTGACTATTTTTTGGATTTTTTTTTTTTTTTGGGAGGAAGGAGATAGGGAGGGGAAAGTTGAACCCTTGACCTCAAGAAAGTAAAATATTCACAAAATAAAGAGTATCATTAGACCAAAGGTCCGTTGGTCATTTTTTGGATTAAATCATTTGGTTTGATAGACTTGACGAATCTGATTGTGAGAAATTATGATTGAATCAATTTATTATTGGGGACTATTTTTTTTGATACAAAAAATATTTATTTGGTACAATTTTATAGTGAATTTTTTTTGTCAACTCTTTTTGTATATTGCTTGCATTTATTATTTTGATGAAACAACACTTTTGTAAAATAGTGTTAGTAATCCAAATTTGAGTATTTATATATTGATGGTTGCCCCCACTAGAGTTGGAGGCTGACTCCGCCCCTGGCCGTATCCAATTCTAATATATAAATATCACAAGCCAAAGGGGGACCCCTCAAGGACGTCAACCCTATTCTTGTTAGTCTAGCTCCCCTTAATAAAAATAAGAGAAATGTTATTTGGACCTTAATAATATATATTCTCATAAAATATAAAAAGTCAGTTTTCTCATTTACTCACAATATACCGCTCTTGTTATTATATAGGAGCAGGTGCAAGAAATAAATAAAACTCTTCAAGTCTGACAGATAAAGTATTTAATTTTTTTTTAGAAAGAATAGTAGGCGGTGAATAAGGTACGAATCTTAACCACTCAACCTTATATAATACGACAATTACTAATAATATATAATATATGATGATGTTTCAAGGGTCATCTTTCTCTCTCTCTCATTTATAACAAATGATGATATTTCAAGAGTCCTGTATTAAATATTTATAATATATAATATAAAATATGATAAATTTTAATAAATTTATTTGATTGTCTCTAATAGACTTATCTAGCGGTCATCAATATTTCTCTTAAAATCATTCATATTCTACCGTATTTTGAGGCACAAATTACCCCTAATAAATTGATATAAGAAAAAATCGACAACCCTAGTCCGCCAAGATCCTAGAACCAACTTTTGGAGTATTTAATGTGGTTGGTGCTGCAAAATAAATTGCCCATGCCCAAATGTTTAAACTCCATTGACATATCCGTCGAACCGGAGTAATATATTGCTCAAAGTCATAGGATTGAGATCAGAGTATAGTACAATATATATATATATAAAAATAAGGGAGAATTATAATTAGACATCATTAATTTGTCATTTAATCACTCAGATCCTCTGATATTTAAAATATTACATACAAACCCTTGACATTTATACTTGCATAACACTTAAATCTTCGATGGAAATATATCATTTAATAAATTACACTTAGATCTCTTAAAATTTATAACATATTATACTTAGACCTTTTAAGTTTAAAATATTATATTTAGACAAAAAATACTCTAATTAAAGATAAAATATCAAAATAGTTTAAATTTTACAACCAAAATTTATTTTTTATTGTATCATTTATTGAAATAAAATAAAAAATAAAAATTCATTTTTTTAAAAAAAAATCGTAATTAGTTTATAATTATATTGTCTATTAGAATTAAATTTGGTCATTTAAATAACCAAATTAAATATCAAACTATCTCAATTAAAGCTAAAAGATATTGTGTTCATTAGAGTTTGACCTCTTGTTTAATTTTTTTTTGTTTTATTCTAATAGATAGTATAATTATATACTAACTATGATTTTTTTAAAAAAAAACTATACTTTTATTTTTGATTTTATTTCAATAAATGAAATAATATAACATGAATTTTAGATGTAAAATTTATGTTCTGTTATGAATGACTTAGACCCTTTATTTTGATTTTTTAATTTTATTCTAATAGATAGTAAAAATTATATAATATTCTATATCTGATTGGAATATTTTTTGTCTAAATATAATATTTTAAAATTTCAAGGATTTAAGTATTATATACCTACAGTAATAGATATATAATAGAATCTAAGTGTAATTTATTAATAGATATATTTACAATAAGGGTTTAAGTGTTATATACGTACAAACTCTATTAGATTTATATGTAATATTTTAAATTTTAGGGAGTTTGAGTAATTAAGTGACAAATATTAAACAGTCTAAATGTAATTCTTCCAAAAAAAAAAAAAACAGAGTAGTTCCACATCAATGACCTCATCACTCGACTCCGATGACAAACTATTTACAGCAAAACTTTGTCGTGTATATTAAAGCATAGACACTCCATATCTACATTCACTTGCCCATCTCTCTCTCTCTCCATGGAAAACTCAAAGCTTCATGTTGCAATACTTTCAAGTCCTGGAATGGGCCACCTCATCCCTGTGCTTAATCTAGGCAACCGCCTCGTCAACCACCATAACGTTGAGGTCACTATCCTTGTTGTCTCAACAACTTCATCACCAGCAGAATCACAAATTCTCAAGTCCACGACAAGCCAAAATCAACTCAATATCATCGAAATCCCACCGGTAGACATCTCAAGCCTAATCGATCCCAAGACAACAATGGTCACACAGCTCTGCATCATGATGCGCGCGGCTCGACTGGGCATCCGGTCCACAATCGCCGCTATGAAACGCTGCCCAGATGTCCTCGTCGTTGACTTGTTTGGAACCGAGGCTTTTCCGATTGCCGACGAGTTTGGAATGCCCAAGTACGTATATATTCCGACCAATGCATGGTTTACAGCTCTATCTACATACTGTCAAGTTCTTGATAAAGAAATAGAGGGTGAATACGTTGATCAAAAAGAAGCGCTGAAAATTCCGGGGTGCAAACCTGTTCGACCCGAAGATGTGGTTGACCCAATGCTAGACCGGAACAATCAGCAGTACCGTGAATACGTACGGCAAGGGATCGGGTTCACGATGGGAGATGCGATTTTGTTGAACACGTGGGAAGATCTGGAGTGTACTTCACTCAAAGCTCTGAGGGAAAATGAGATACTACGATCAATAGTGAAGGTACCGGTTTACACCATTGGTCCTTTAAAAAGATCGGCCGAACCGACTGGTTCAAAGAGTCGGTTGATTGAGTGGCTTGACAGGCAACCCAGTGAGTCAGTGATTTTTGTATCATTTGGGAGTGGAGGGATGTTGTCGGCTCAGCAAATTTCCGAGTTAGCCTGGGGGTTGGAGTTGAGCCAGCAGAGGTTTGTTTGGGTGGTGCGTCCACCTACCGAGGGTGGTGCCGATGGGTCATTTTTCACCGTAGGGAACGGTTCCGATGGCATCCCGGACTACTTACCAGATGGGTTCTTGACTAGGACCCACAGCGTCGGACTGTTGGTCCCACAGTGGGGCCCACAGATGGAGATCTTGAGCCATCCATCAGTTGGAGGATTTTTATCACACTGCGGATGGAACTCAACTTTGGAAAGCATAGGCAGTGGCGTTCCAATGATTGCTTGGCCGCTCTATGCCGAGCAAAGACTGAACGCCACCATGCTTACGGAGGAGCTGGGCATAGCTATCCGGCCGGAAGTGTTGCCAACAAAGAAAGTAGTGGGAAGGGAAGAGATAGAGAAGATGGTGAGAACCTTAATGCAGTACAAAGAAGGAAAGGCAATGAGAGATAGAGCCAAAGAACTCAAATACAGTGCAGAGAATGCCCTGAGCAATGAAGGTTCTTCTTACAAATCAATTTCTGTGGTCCTTGAGGGGTGCCAGAAGAAATTACTGTCTCGTAACAATGTGTAGGTTTGTTACTGTCTCGTAATCACGTGGTATTGAGTTTGTATCGAATAATATAAATATATTAATCACAATTCGTAGTGATTGAATGATTATATTTGAGATTCTCAAATAAACTTATTAAAATTTATTTTGTTTAATTTATAAATTATAAATGTTTAATTTATACGGGACTCATTTATAATTTTGTTTAATGGGGTTGGCATTATCCATAGTCAGATTTAGCAGGTTTTGTGTTGTGATTTAAAGACTCTGCGTCAATTCATTTTTTTGACAAGTTTAATTAATTCATTCATTTATCGTCCTAAAATTCTAAGTCTAAATTTAAATTCAATAACATCCTAACATGCCCATTAAAATTTTTATTATAATTTGATACCAATTTAATATCAAGTACACAAATCATGTTTAAATTGACAGGTGTAATTGCTAGACTTGTATTCAGAAGGTCTGTGTGCCTCGTAAGGTGCAAGTTAACAGAAATACTAAAATATATAAGGAAAAATTTAGTGACCGGTTTCTTTTGTGAGCTTATTTACTTATAAGATTATTAAGAAAATTTGTTTAATATTAAATCTATTTTAATCTTTATTGTTTAAAATACCCTCATTAATTATATTTAATTACAATAAATTTAAAAACTAACAAATCATTTTAAGAGTTTGACTAACACTAAAAGGATTATTTATTTCTCTCTCCCTCATATACATATATACTAGTAATTATTTGTGCCTGAAAGAACGGAGTAACAAAAAAAAATATTTCTAATTAAAAGACATACAAAATAAAAGAGCTCTAAGAACATCAAAGAACAACGAAAAACCACAAACCCATGCCTGAAAGCACTAAAAAATAAAAAAATCTTAACATTGCTAAAGTCGAGCTCTTCGTGCATTTAAAGTATATTTAATTGCAATTTATTTTTTAAAATATCACAAAACAGCTTTATTAACACATAGAAATGTTCAAAATTGGTCATTTGGTTATGATTAATTGTAATTTCAAGCTTGGCGGTGGTAGTGGTAAAGCTGGCCAATAAAGTTTCCACAAATTTTATAAAGAAAACCCAAAAATAATAAAAGAAATATTTACTAGCAAATCAATGATAGGCTTCACCATTCTAACAACTGTGTGCCAAAATTGTGTACCCATGTATAACTTGTTACAGAATTTTGTCGATCAAAAATCAAATTCCAGTAACTTTAAAAATTTGAATCATCACTAAAACATTTTGGAGAATCTATTAGAAAAAGTTTAATCATGTCCGGTGAATTCAATGTAATAATTGTAAGTGTCTGCACTATTGAACATTATCAAATAGTCCTTTTAAAAGGGTTAGGAATTTATTGTGCAAGAAGTCATATGCATCAATCACACCTATCATCGTCATACTCCACAGAGTTCACTTTCAAGTTTCAGCATTTCATTTAAACTTCTCAGCAAATCCACATATTCATCCTGTTGTGTCAAATCCATTGCCCTCCCATGGAAGCTATATTCACTATCACACAAAAAATAGGCAAAAGTAATGGGCTCAAAATTTGAAGTAATTCATGAAAAATCACAAAGTGTACCCATATAAGTATTTTTATTTTCCAATGGGTCCATCAATTTTTAACATCAAGTGCACACCCAAAACAAACTACAAATTGTGGAAATGTAAAGACCCCTACAACTTAAAATAAATTAAAAATAGTATGAAATCAACAGCAAAGAAAAAAAATTGAACACTTGATAGCTTAATACATACACATTAAATCTTTGTTTAAAAATAGTTAATGAAGCATATTTCCTCACTAGTAAGAAAAAGCAAATTTCCTCTGTCCAAAAAAAAATCTTCAAGATCTTTTAACCTACCTCTACCTCCTATTTCATCGATTTTGTTGGATCATTCTATGAGCTAGATCCGTAAATCTCTAAAAAATTAGATCATACAAAACTCATATTATATAAAACCAAACCAAAAAATTTGCTAAAAATTCAAAGACTACACAACGAAGTTCAAAAATTTAAAAGACACAAAACTATAATTCACCTGTTGACGATATCCTTTTAGCATATGTGCTGAAGAATTCATTATTTTTTCAATTAATTTGGTGGCATCTATCCAATGGGAAATGGAAAAATATTAATATATTGTCACACCCCCACCCCGGATCACATAGGGTGGGCGGCGGACCGGCCACCAAGGCCTTAACCAACCATCCCTGTGCATAATTAATGCAAAATACAGCGAAACACAAATAATAAAATGATCCTTTTCACCGATCTAATGAATACCAGAGAAATAAACTAACATCACCGATATTATTACTAAACTCATGTAAAACAATAATTAATCCATAAGGTTCACTACTCTAAGCAAAAACAACATTGTTCTCAAAACAATCGAATACTTGTTTCAAAACTATAAAAAATATTTATTCCTAAAAACTTACAATAAAATAAATCTTCGATTCTTCTAATCCCTTGTCTATCCAAGGACTTACTCCTACTCTTGATCCTCACTTGAAAAATGTTAAATATTTGGATGAGCACAAAGGCCCATGAGTAGCAACCACCTCTAATGAGGTTTGAAAATAAATCTCACATTTCATATAAACAGAAATAAACTTTGTTATATACATAAATACAATAAATTGTACCTCAATCCCTTTCACATAACCATGTAAATAAAATAATCTTATGATCATAATAATTTTATATAAGAAAAGACATTTATAGCTCAAAACACTCACACACACATTCAGTTTCAAATACACTTGTCAAATCATGTTTGTTACCACTAGTCTGGTAACTGGCTCCATCTCTTGTCATCACTAGCCTGATGACTGGCCCCGTCTTCTGTTATTACTAACTTGATAACTGACCTCTATGTGCACATCCCTATACCGACCATGCCGGTATACAATCTCGTTACCATTTAGACCTGATAACCCAGTCCCCTTCTCATAAAACATGATTTCAACACACAGATTAAAACTGTTGTTTTAGTCCCATCGCACACAAAATTTCTCTTTCATCACCAAAACCATTTAAACAATAATATAAAATCATCTCATAAGTTTTGCAAATTCACATGTGTAACAATTCACAATTACAAAAATATTTAATTGCAACCCCGAACATCAACATATATCATATATATGAAAAATTCACACACATACACCCACAAATTTAATATATAAAATCCTCCCAGAAGAAGTAATAAACTATTCACCTTGATTTTCAAAATTCAATTCAAAACACTCTTTCTCAACCTCAATGCAATCACTACCTAATTCAAAATAATATGTAACGATCAATCCCTATTTTTAACTTCGTCATTTCGTGATTTTATATTTAATTTACGTACTTTCTACTCTTTGATATATACTTAATATATATTTTACATATAAACATCCTTTATAATACGATGGAACAGGATATGAAAGTATTCTGGGCTATTTAGAAAAAGTTCTAAAATTTTGGGGTCAAATTATAATTTTTAAAACTTTTGGGGTCAAAGTGTAATTTCCTTAAAAACAAATTTTCTGTCTTCGGGGCTACCATAAATTTTTCAGAATTTTATTCTTACAATTTACCAAGTAAAAAAGTACTTAAAATTAAGTTCAGAAGAATAAAGAGGTCAAAATAAAACTCTTTAAAATTAAAGGAGAGCTTTCTATAATTTTTGGATTGGTCTTCTTCTACATACGGTCATCCAGGTTGTTTGTTCTGCCACAACAATTCCAAACCCTTTTCTTTTCTTTTCTTTTTCAACTTATTGATTAGCCAACTATAAGTCTAAATTTAATCTAATAAATTTCAATAATAATAAACGATTACCATGAAACTTATTTTGTATATGCGTAATATATATATATATATATATATATATATATATATATATATATTACGCAATATCATTATCATCAACCTAATACCATGTAATTGAATAAACTATAAAACCCATAAAATAAATTATAAACTCACTTTTAAAGGACTTAATTTACTTGTCTTCTTCCTCATTCTTTCTTTTCTCTCTCTGTCCCTTTTTCACGTTATTTTTTTTTCTTCTTTGTTCATAGGACAGTCTCCTCCATAAACCTTCTCACCAAAAGACCCTACAACATAAATATATTTTTATATATATAAGGGTTTGACATATCCAATAATACTACGTTATTTAAACTACATGTATAAGAGTCCTAATAGGTCTCTAGGTAAGACTTTTTATTAGAGATATATTAGTCTTTTTTTTATTATTATTTTTATCCTTATGAAATCACGTGATAATTACTCCTAGGAAGCCAATGCATGAAAATAATATAATAATTTTTTTTTTATGGGTAATTACATATATCACTTATTATTTCTCTGGTTTCATAATTGAAATCACATGAGGAGAAAAAATATAAAAGTGGCATTTCACCATGGCACCAAGAAATGGCCCAGGAAAGTTGAAGCATTCCCAAGCATCCTCTGTATGTGCGAGCACTAAATGTGTGTGTGTGTGTGTGTGTGTGTGTGTAGAGTTGGGGGCATTTTGTCAAAAATCTTGCGTGCATTGTGTGTGGAATTTAAGTTTAGAGGGAAGATTTGGTAGATTTGGGGGAGATATGGTGGTGGATTTAAAAGATTTGGATGAATAACTGTGAGCCCCTATTTTTTAACAGCAACTGCTCCCCCTTCTTCTTCTTTTTTTCCACTCCATTCTGTAAACTCTTTTTTGGCCCAAATATTTCATAACATGAATTCCTTTACTTTATTATAGAACCTTCACACATGTTTTACAATACTTTTTTGTATGTTTCATTACATCATTATTGATGTGTTAAATTTAACCTATCATGTATCAAAAAAAAAAGACCAAGCGGATTTTCACTTTAATTGTGCACCATTACTATGGGGGCCAGTGAGGGAGAGAGAGGGGAGATAGATGATTAAAAAGGACCCTTTCTCTACCATATTGTATGCATAGATTGATTAAGTGATTAAATAATTGATTGAATATAACTCACTCATAATGAGTTCAAGCAATGTAATTGATACACATGATTTAAAAAAAAATATGTATATCTAAAATCTTGATTAACAAATGCAAAACACACGTGAAAAACTTTAAAACTAAACGGTGTGGCCCCTTTTCCAGCCATATCCAATTTCATCATACCTTTT